AACTACTAGAAAGGCTGTAGATCACCTTGTTATATCTTAAATTAGAGGCCTGCAAATTGCCTATTTTTAAAGCCTGGTTTGGCCTGCATTTAGAGTTAAAATTTGTTGTTAACCTAGCCTGACTTACAAAATTTCTTATATAATTTTGCAAAATTTTAGACCTGGCCTAGCTCACAATTATAAAATTTTGCTTCAAATCTGACCTGACTTACAAAATTTTGTATGTTAGGCTGAGCTGTATCAGGCTAAGCCAGGCTGCAAAACCCAATACAGGCCTTTTTCTAAATTTCTTCTACTTTTCTTACTCAGCAACTTCTCTGTCTACTATTTGCAATAACTTATTTTTTTTTCAAATAGGTTGACTATAATAGTTTTTTCTCTTCTTGTTACCAATTTGGTATATATTGCCTAATTTACTTTCTAGTATCCTAGTGGCATAACTGAACTTATCAAGATCTGAATTATCAATCTGCAATTTACTATGTACTCTTTTTAGATGTACTTTCATAGTTAGTTTAGTTTGTGGCTTAATCACATATGCTTCCTGCAGGCTTTTCTATAGGTGTATTGCTAACTACATACTAATATACTACCAGCTTGGTGTTGCAAAAAGGTCTAGAACCTTGACTTATTATGTACAGATATGGTGGCTATTATCTAAGTTGTGATGTACAACTGTTTAGAGAATACTCTTCAAGTACTTTTTAGAGATATCTGTCTAAGATGATTTCATTTTGATTAGACCAATTCTTTGTTACAGATCTTCTTTGCATGCACTATATCATTCACTACTTCAATTTGGTTACATAATATTACTCTTCTAATCAAGTATTTTATAAGTTGGATATAGAGATATTGGTATTAAATCATTTTCTAGGAACTTATATACACAATACTATTGTATAGTTAAACTTTCTGTGACAATGCTGTCAAACATAATGCCTTCATTTTGCAGAATCAGTCTTCTTCTGAAAATTTCTAATCCATTCTTGTACTTCATCTTAAGACTTGTTATTACAGAGCTCTGCATTCAATTTGACTTCTTATAAGTTATAGAATTAAAATTTTAAGATTTTTGCCTTCAACTTAACTTAAACTATTAACCTTGTTTGTAAGAGATTAGCAGCTTTACTGTTAAGCTATAAGGCCCAATCTTTTGTAAAGTATTTTAGAAACTATTTTATAATAAGAATATTGTTATTTATTACAATCTGTGACATCACAGATTATATGCTATATTGATCAAAACATGATAATTAACTAATCAAATTGATAATACAAATTTAATAAATAATTTAATAATTTAACTAGAATTCTTTTTTCAACTATTACAACTATTATAATTTATAATTAAAATATATTATGATCAATAAAACAAAACTAAATTGCAACTATATTTACTAAGATTAAATTATTTTTTCATGTGATGTTAAGCAATTGTTTCACAGGACTTATAATCTGAAATCTTAAGAATTTATAGATTCAATTCTAATCAAATTTATTAGATATTTTAAATTATTTCCCATATAGCATTGAGCAATTGTTTTACAAGACTTATAAACTAGAATTTTGAGAACTTATTAATAAAAATTACTAGACTTAAAAAGTTTCTGCTGCTAAACCTATATCTTCAGATATTTTATTACCAAAATTTTCAAGATTAAACTTATATGTTATTAACTTTTTAGTATCTATTGCCATAATTAGTAATAGCAATAAATAATAATAATTGTTTCTAAAAGTGAAGTTTTCTGAATTGTAAATGTTTCTTTGAAGTCAAAAAATAGTGTTTACAGTAATATTTTATTATTGAAACATATATTTCAAAAGCATTACATTAAAGTGTATAATTAAGTTATCTGAAAAGTATTTAAGATGCAAATATATAATAAGATCTATGTACCTATAAGTCAAGTCTAAAGATTTAATCTAGGTGATTTAATTATTCTTAAATTAATCAGATTATTCATTTAGACAGACCACTCAGACTAAATTCTTAAGACTATAAATTATCTGCTTCTTTTACTACTTTTTTTGATACTAAAATATAAAAAACTTAAAATTGCTATTCTGCCTTTTAACAAAAAAAAAATTAAATAAATAAAAATAAAAAATAAAAATTTAGATAAGTAGAATTCAGGAACTATCTTATATATTCATCTCTATTGTTTTGAAATTAAATTGTTAGATACTGTTCACTCATTTTAATAATCATCTCTAAATAAATCTTACTTTAAATTATTATTAGATTCTTAAATATTTCTGTTGCTATTTCTTTATATTTAGCATTATTAATTTCTTGATATTGATATAACAGCATTATTAAACAGGAACTTGATCCTAATAATATGCACTTATAATATTTATAGTCAAGAATCTACTATAATGTGAATATATTGTTAGTAAAAACTTAAAAATCCAATTAAATAACTAGATATATAGAAAATGTTCATACTGAACTTGTTAAATGTTTTTATATCTTTGATACTTCGTATATACAACATATATATTATATTTGATAATTTTAATGAAATAATTATACTGATAATCTTTTACAATACAAAAAGTCAAGATTTAGTTCCAAAAAAAATCTTATAATTTCCTATTTCAAATTATTTTGACTACAATACATTCAAGCATATATTAAAAAAAACAGGCAATAGCACAATTACATAATTTATTTAACACATTATATCTTAATCTATCCACAAAATGTATTACAAGAAATATAAATTCTAACACTAATACATGTATTATTTAAAGAAATTTTTTAAGAATTTGTATATAGAAATATAATGTCCAGTTTTATAGCAATTACTATAATGTCAGATTTCTAATTTAGGCTTAATATTACTGTCACTTTTTTCAATATTAACCTATTTTACTGATCTTGAATTCTTCTTCTGTCTTATATCAAAATCCTGAATAATGTTACATTACATTAAATTTGACCATTTTGGGTGCCTCTTGTGATTTAATTTTTTTTGAATTGTTAATTTAAGTAAGATCAACTAACGTCTGTTGATTAGTATTAACACTAGTGTGATTTTTAATAAATCTTGTTATTAACCTAATGAATTCATCTACTAAACTATTATTAACAGCAAATTTTAGTTTACTTTTAGCAATACCAAAGCTATGTGCATATTTCTGTTTTACATAATATCTGTGCAAATGTTAGGCTAAACTATGTTCAGTTCATGAATTGACATTATATGATTTATTTCTGTAATTAGGTCTTGTTTTACAGTTGTTTCTATAATTAAAGGATAAACATCTTAAATTGGATCAGCATATCAGTGTTTGGGTATAAGTTTGATGTCAAATTTGGTATTACATAACATTTTAAAAATGCTAAAAAAGTGTCAGCAAGAAAACCCATTTGAAATTATATGAAAATATGTACAAAGATGCATATTATCAGTTAAAAGAATTACATAGTAGGATAGCTGCAAGTATGCTGATTAAATAAGGACATATGCCAAATCTCAAGAATGTTTTCATGGTTTATCATATTTACAATAGTTTTAAATAAGACTTGTAATACATCATATTAATCTTCAAGAAACCTTCAGAATATTTAGTACCCAATTATAGTACCCAAACAGGCAAGTACCTTTAGATTGAAAGTCTCAAAGATATTACCAATCAGGCTACTAGAATGAACTAAAAAAAAAGGATATTAGACTAATCTGATATACCAATAAACTGATTGTAGTCCTGTATAAACTATCTGAATTAGAAGTCTAATAAAAAGACAGATGAAAAAACAAAAATATACTAAAGTACTAAGATTATATTATAAAGTAAATGCTAAGATCTATGTAAATTCTATAAGAACATAACAATTAAATAATATAATTCTGATTGTAAGTGTTGGTTCTGTCATAGCAATACCTAGATTAACTGTAAAAATAGGTACAAAAAGTTCTGAAATGTTTATCTTAAGGATAAAATAGTCCTAAGATTGAGATGATAATCTGAATATCTGGATATAATCTGAATATCTGGATATGATTCAGTGATGTTAACACAGGTTGCAGGTTCAAAAAGTTTAAAGTGAAACACTCAAGCAAGGGTGTTAGATACAGCAATTAGTAAAAATCCTTTAGGCAGACTCCTTAAGTAGATAATATAGAAAATTTATATATATAACCAATTGTATACTCTTTTGTAGTGGTTTATAGAATCACATTACCAAAAAAATCATTAATAAAAGTCAAAGAACCAAAGAGGTCATCTTAATACTAAAAAAAAAAAAAATTATTATATATTAATTATCTAATAATATTGTTATATGAATCTTAACTCTTTACAAGAACTATTGTGAGAGTATAAAGTCAAAATTTTATTTTTTTCTAAAAATAAAATAGATCTGTATAAACTTTAGTTCTCTGCTAAAACAAATAAAAAATATTATGAAAATGTAAAGCCAGAAGAATTTATTGCCTTCTGTATAAATTTGAGTTCTTACAGAAATCTAATATTAACAATAAATGTATTATAGATCATCATGAGATGTAAAATCTAAAGTTAAATTCTATTTCTTCTTATATGAACTTTAGTTCTTATAAAAACTAATACTAATAATAAATGTATTACTATAAACCATCATGAAGGTGTAAAGCCTGAAATAAGTTAAAATTTATTTATTCCTATATAAACTTTAGTTCTTATAAAGAACTAATGCCAATAATAAATGTATTACCATCAAAGACATAACAGTAAAGCCCGAAGTAATTTAAAATTTATTTCTTCCTGTATAAACTTTAGTTCTTATAGAGAACTAATACTAATAATAAATGTATTATCATCACAAAAATGTAATGATAAAACCTGAAGTAATTTCTTTCTGTATAAACTTTAGTTCTTAAAGAGAACCAACGATAATAATAAATATATTAGTTATAGACCATCATGAAGGTGTAAATCCTGAAGTAAGTTAAAATTTATTGTTTTCCAAAAATGGATATTAATATACTAGCTCTAACGTGAATAACCTACGTAGCATTATCCTGAAAAAATGGTAACCAGATTGTTTTGCTGGCATACATGTAAATTTGAATATCAAGTAAAATTTGATTCAATTTCGATAAAAATAACTTTCATAGAAAATGAATGAGTACTGCCTAATTAAAAACTGTAAGTGAATTTTAAGTTTTTCACATATCGGACTTTTCCTCTAAAAAAAAAAAACCATGCCAAAGTTAATCGTGAAGAATCTTCACGATTGACTTTATAACAGTTTTTTTTTTTTTATAGGATAAGTTGGATATGTGGAAAACTTAAATATTCACTTCCGATTTTTAACTTGGCAACGCTAAAATATGACCGCAATTATGAAGTACATGTATTTTTATTATTAGTTTAATTGTAAGTTGCAGACCCATTGCAAAGTAATGTGAATAATATAGAGGAAATCAAAGAATTAGTAAAAATCTGATTAAAAAGTAACTTCGAACGAGTGAAAAGCTAGAAGTAAATTCAATTAATAAATAAAAGATTAAATTAACGCGAATAAATAAGAGATGGTAAATGATAAATATTCATAAGCTTAAGTAGCTTATTTTAAATACATCAATTTAAAAGAATCTAACTAAATTAACACGAATAAAATAAATTAGATGAGTATTAAATATTCTTGAACCTGAATAGTTATTTTAAGCATCCTTATACTTGCCAGTTAAATTAAGCTTATAAATCTGAGTTAAAAGATCTTTAAACTAAACGACTAAATTAATGTGAATAAAATTAACCTAAATAATTATTCTAAATATAAATTAACGCGAATGAAAAAAGAGAGGGGGTAATGATAAATATTCATGAGCATGAATAGCAACACAAATAAAATAGATGAGTGGTGTACGTACAGTAAATATTTGAATAACTTATTCTAGATAAATTAAATTAAAAAAATCTATATACTTACCTGCAAAATTAATACGAATAAATGGATGTCGTATAATTATATAAAATGTTAGCGATATTTATATAACCAAATTCATATTGGTCAATTGTATGTATTTATTTTTTAAATGAGCTGTTTCAAGGATCTTTCGACCTTTTTAATCGCCGTATGATAAATTTTATATGTATCATCCATTAATTTAGTTTGAGATAAATCGATTTGACGAATCTCAAAATCAAATTTCGGTCTGACGCAGCTCAGTTTCAAATTCACGCTTATTCAAATCTCACGCACAACATATACACTATATAAGCAATGGAATTGGGGCACAGATCGATGTTAAACCATCACATTGAAATATATATATTTGATAAAATATTTCATTTAATAACTTTAGAAATATTACATGTTTCTGAAACAAAATTTGTTATATAAAATATAAAATTGTCCTAGTGCTTACTAACCGAACGGTTAAATGAATAGAAAATATTAGAAAGCAGTAAAATACAAACATTACTGATATATGTATACTAAAATTACGAATGTCCAATGTCACAATATAATACCATTTATACATTAAAAATAGCAACAAAATAAATTAGCAACTAATCTAGAAATTATATATACAAAACTACCCAGAAATCTACAAACAGTTAGTCCAGTGATAGACCAAAAAATAAATAACACATAAGCTTTAAATCTCGTAAGTTTTGAATCCTGAGTTTCTTGTTTATACATAATTAAATCCAAAATATCACTTCTAATAGCAATTATTAATAAAGCATTGGTAAAAATCCATAAAAATAATACCAATGTTCGAAAAGTTTTTTGAGAATCTTCTTGTTTGTCTTTTCGATTCTTTCGTTTTACTTCATGCTCTTTTCTATTTATTTCTTTATAAGCTTCATGATGTGCCCTTTTAACAATATTCTCATCAGGGACTGTAACTTGTGCTTTAATAATTCCGGCTTTATCTCTCACAAAAATAGCATTATTTGCGCGAACTGCAGGACCTTTAGTTCCCCAACTACAATTCACGTAATTAGAAAGTAAATTAGAATTTTAACATTATTAAAATAAAAATTATAAATGAATAATAGCTTTACCTGACATCATGAATATTACAAAAAGCATAAACATTTAAAATATTAATGTAAAATGGTATTAACAAAGTATATTGTATAATACAAGTAAACATATGCCAAGGGTCAAGCATCATTATACTTGAAATTAAATATAAGCCATATGTAGCAATTAAAGAAATGACAATGCTAATAGATTCGAAATCATGAATTAAATTTTGTAAAATGAAACCATTATCCTTCTCTATAGAAGTTGAAATGGCAGCAATTGTGAGCCAAACACCTGTAAATGTTAAATAAATCATGATAACGCCAAATAATATCGCTGAAATAGTATGAATCCATTTAGAACTAACAATAATTTAAAACCAAATTTATTAAAAAAAAAAAAGCGTGCATATTAATGTTAATTAGTAAATTAATGAATTAGCGATATAAAATAATAATCACCCTTGTGGTCTATTGCCCATGGAAATGATGAATTGTATAATAATTAATCCACTATAAATATAATCCAGAGTCATAAATATATACTTTGTGACTGATGTAACTGATAATGGAACTGATGGAAAGCCAACTAATAATTAGATACAGTACAGAAATATGATTCAGAGTTATAATACATTATATAGTATATCGTATATACAGTTGTAGGAAACTTACTATCTCCATTATTGGATTCGTTTTGAAAAGTAGAACCTAAAATATAAAAAGCCAAGTAAAAATTGGCCTAAAATAATAAACCTAATTAAAACAGAATATAAACAAATAAACTTAATTATAACAAAATATTGTAAAAAAAAAAAAAATGTTACCAAGGCAAACCATGAAAAAAAAAGATTAAGTGCTTGGTAAAACATCTCAATACAAAATAAGCCTTTACGAATGAAGGAATGATCGCTTCTGAAAATGTAATAAAAATGTGTAATAGCATAAAAACTAGCAAAGAATGTTCCATTTAACCAACGTCTTCGTTGACTGATTAGTTCGGGTAGATCTTCGGGTATGTCCGTTTCAGCCTGAGAATATTTTATGTAGCGCAATATCCAGGAACTTTGTCGCTTTGTAACCAATTCAAAGCAAAGAATCCGATCTTCAGCAAGATACATATTAGCAGTGAGGATACTTTCAACAGGAGCATTTCCATCTTCATTGTCGGTTTCGAATTTGAAATAAGATGCAAGGGGTCCTTCTTCACGTTGTCCTTCGCCTCTTTTGATATTTTGAAGAGCAATATATCTATAAGCGGAGAAAGCACCGGGTAAAACGGTAACATAACCAAATACAGACTCAAATGGTTTATCTAAAATATTAGACATTTTATATTCAAAATTTTGAGCACCCACGATTGGGTTTAATAATTTAACGCATCCTTTGCCTTTAGTGGCGACTATTTCCCCACAAACGCCTGCAACATAGGGATTATCGAATGCTCTCCACAAATCATTAATAGAATTATATCCTTTAAGAATTTTAAATATCAACAGGTCAAAAAGAATATTTATATTTTATTAGCAAAATATAGAAAATCAGTATCGAAAATGATGATTATCTAACCTGGTTTAGTACCAACATCAACCAGAACACATATTTCAGGTTCGAGAACTGAACCAAAGGCATTGAAGAACCAACGATGAGAATTGATCTTTTTCTTATTTTCTTCTTTAAGACAAAAGAGGATTTGAACAGGTACAATTCCATCACTTGCAGTTTTTATGTTCATAGAAGGATCAATTGCAATCTGAGTCGTATACTCAAATAGATGCGCACTAACGGCTCTATCGTTTACACTAGTTTGAATAATGCCATCTTGATAAACACCAAGGACTGCTAGATAAGCTAAGACGCGTTGACTGACATTCCTACGACCATCAGAAATTATGCATACAACAACCTCTCTCCATGCGTTTGGATTATTCTTGTTGATTTTAAAACAAGTCATTAATAAATTCATATTACAGTATTATGAAGCTATTGATAAAAAAAAATATATCTACCCGTTTAGTACAAATATGTCTAATATTTTGTGTGATTCCATAAAGAGTGCGAGATAATAGAACTTCATTTTCCTATTAATAAAGATCAAATCGTAAATTTTATTTGATATATTTATGATAAACTAACATTGTATTCATTTTATTAATAATTAATCATTTCATACGTTGTACATGGTTATTGCAATTAATAGTCTTATCTGTTCTGGAGGTTGACGAAGTGTATATCCTCTGTCCTTGAAATCATCCGGATCACATGTGCAGGCGGTATACCTTATACTTGTAAATTCTGGTTTGTCATCGTAAGGAACACCCGAAAATAGTTCTCGAACAGGTACGGGACAATCTATCACCAAATTCCCTCTTGTTAATTCGATATTTCTTGTAATTGTAGATGTTTGTTCTTCAATTTTTCTATCAGCATTTTCTTCATAATTATTTATAGGTTCTTTTGGAGGTAATGGAGGTTGATAGTTAAAAGCCACGACATTTTGATGACTGCTACCTCTTGGTGTGTATCCACCTTGATTTGACGCCATGAACACAAAAAAGACAAGAGAAATATGCACAATTTTATACAGATAATTATTTATGAGTGAATTTATTTTAAGCAATTGAAATAAAATTTTTTAACCCTTTTTTAATCCTATTTATAACGAATAAATCATTTAAAATTAACGTTAAGTGCAAATGATTTTTTAAAAAAGTTCAACCGGTTTTAAGCAGGTTAAATTATATTATTGTGATAAAATGAACCATTCGGTTGAAAAAATATATAGATCACGCGTGATGAATATCGATAAAGTGAATTGTTTAAAGTATAGTATAAACAAATGAGTATAAAACTGCTAATCCTAAACATCGATACCTACCTAAAAGAAGTTCATAATCCAAATTTGTAGATTCATGATTTTATAGCAATCATTACAAATTAGCCATTAGATTATGAATCAAAAGTTCATTTGTCAAATTGCAACCAACATAATGGGTCAAATTAGGCATTTAAGATAATGCAAAAGAATTTCTTTAATCCATATGGAATTAAAATTCCGTAATTTAGGGAAAATCTATACAAAACTGTTTATTTAAGTAGAATATAATATTTTGTTTAATTCCATAAGGAAGGTAATTTTATGGCAAATTCAGACTTGCCAATTTTTATTTTTTGAAGCAAGATGAATCATTTGGTGTTGACCTATCCAATTTTCACATGCCTAGATACTATTAAAAAAACTTTTAAACTTATTCTATGCACATTGATCTTGTTACATTACATCAAGAATAATGATATTTACATATGAGTGACGCTAAGGAAAAATCTGATTTCGATCATATAGAATTCATATGATTGAAGTCTGGTTTCCCTTGGCGTGACTCGTATCTTCATTTAATAATTGTCTAAATCGTGAATTAATTTATGAAATTTACAAGAATTACATTATTTAATACTCGTTAATTAATGTTGATATATAATAATATTTGAGAATGGTGATCTTGAATTGGTGAAATTACTGAATTATATATTAAATCATTAATATATACTAGTACATATGGTTCTTATGTGATTTCTTGCAAAATTATTCATATGCAGTGTTTCTTAGTATGATTATCACACTTAGAATCATTAGCAAATTACGTTAAGAACTTAATACTTGCAGATTACAACTTTACAAGAATGTATCTAAGTCTTCAGCCCAGAAAACAAACATATTTTCCACGTGTTAATCGTTAAATGATTCAAGTTTTTTAAAATTCCAATTTGGATATTAGATTATCAATTATGCGATAGATACATATGCTTAATTTATTATTTCATTTACATGCAACTCTTGGTATGACGCCCATTTACATTATTTACATTGTATTTTATTTTTGACATTCCATATTAAATGCTTTATTCAATTATTTCCATATTTGATAGGTCAGTTGTTACCATTACATTATTTTGAAATTCTAGAAACCAACAAAAAAATGAGAATCTTTAGTACAAACTATATATTTTGAATCCAACAATGACCATATGTATTTGTTAATCATGGCAAGTTCTACTATTCTATTTATGAATAACAATCAATAATATACGTATGCTAAGTACAAAAGTAAAATGATCTTCATAAGGAGATAGAGATACCCGATTCCTTTCAAAGTTAACCCTATTGGTATTCTATTGCCTAAGGATTTGGGCGAAAAAGGTCAATAGGGTTATCTAATTAATAAATAGTAACTTACTATTGATTAAATAGTTTAAATCAGTAAAAACTTTATTCAATGTGAAATCAATCTGGTAATAATCGGGTAACCCTATTGACCTTTTTCGCCAAAATCCGTAGGCAATAGGACACCAATAGTGTTAAGTTTTGCAGCAACCGGGTAATTCCTATTTAATATCATTTTACTTGTGTTAAGCTTTGGCTGCAAGTACTTACGTAATATATCCTTCTAAAAAGGGAATGTCCAATAAGAGAATGCAAAACGTGCGAATAAAGGAGAAAACACGAATATGGACCTTGGATTATTAATTGAAGTACCAGAAACGAAATTTTACATATAACAAGCAATAATTTATTTCCATAGTTTCCAACTTTAATCATAAATTTCTACGTATCTTCACTTTATTTTATATTATGCTTCCATTTTTAGGAGTTTGTGTTGTTTGCAAAGATAACAAACCAACACTTATTTCTTTATTTGGTATATACTTATGTAGTAGTATTCTCATCATTTATTGGTTTATGTCAATGATAATTATTAATAAGTACATCATATTTAGACTTTTCATTTACCCACAAAATTATGTGATTAACAAAAAAAAAGAGAAATAATCATAACGCTCTAATAGTGCTTATCTGACGTATTGCTTCACTTGACTCGGGCGTTTTTTCAAGTGCGCCAATTTTCCCTAATTAGTTCATAAACGAATGCATTATATGCTACGGTTATCCGACGGGTAAACATGTGGGTTACCTGGGTAATCGATGGATATATCCGGGTATACGTATTGTGGACACTTTTTGAAATGCTATAGTAAATAAAGGTAGTATGAAGCATATTATACTAAAATTTTAGACAATTTCATTAGATTACATAGGAACTGCACAAAAAAATACAAAGGTTGGTTTTTTATTTGTATGAAAATTTCATTTTAATTTTTTTTTACATTTTTTATTTAACAAAAAAAAATTTATCCTATCTTAATATTTTGTAAAATTCTCTTTGGTTTTTATTAAGCATTTATCTATGTTAGTAACTAGTTGACAGTAAAGTTTAAATAATATTTTATTTTATATTTTTTAACAAAAAAAATATTTTTAATATTAATTAATCATTTTTTCAATTTAAAATTTTTTTTACAAAATTTTGATTAGATTAAAGTATATCTTTTTTTTTAATGTTAAGGTGACTTCTTTGGTCTTTTAATTTTTATTAATGACTTTTTGGTAATGCGATTTTATAAACCACTACAGAAAGAGTATACAATTGGTTATATATGCAACTTTTTATATTACTTATTTAAGGAGTCTACCCAAAAGTTTCTTACCAATTGTTGTACCTAACATTTCTGTTTGGGTGCTTCATTTTAAACCCTATGAACCTGCACCTGTAGTAACATTACTAAGTTATGATCAGGTTATCATCTCAACTTTAATACTATTTTATCTTTAAGATAAACATCTCAAAGTTTTCTGTATACATTTTTACAGTTGATCTAATATCATTATGACAGAATCAATACTTGTGATCAAAATTAGTCATTAAACTGTTGTGTTTTTATAGAGTTCATTTAGATTTTAGTATCTATTCATAATATATTCAAATTACTTTAGTATATTCTTATCTGTTTTTTAAACTTCTAATTCAAATAGTTTAATAGGACTATGATTAGTCTATTGTTATATTAGATTAGTTTGATATTCTTTTTCTCTAGTTCATTTCAGTAATCTAATTGATGATACCTCAATCTAGAGGTTCTTGTCTATCTGAATACTTTGATATTGTTGATATTGATATCCATTTCCTAAAATTAGCCTTTACAATAGCATCATTTCTAATTAAAACTATTCAGAACCTAGAAGTTTTATACAAATTAGTATCAACAATTACAATTAATATTCTGTTTAAAATTAACAAACAAATCTATGAACAATTATAAAAATCCTACTATATTAATTTCTCAAATTAGAAAAAACAACAACAAATAACATATACACATACTATGTAACAAATTTCATCTTTCTACAATAGAAATAATATACATATTCATCGAAAACTTTATATATTTTTATTTTTATAGTCAACTTGACTAACTTCACTTATATATTGGAACCTGACTAACTCTATTTACATACTGAAACCTATTTATTTGTTGAACAGGTTTTTAGAAAAATCAGTACTTGGGTCACTCCATGGGTTAAGTATTACACAACTTCTAACTTTATTTTAACTATAAATAATATTGTCTAGATAAGTTTTTGATTATTCTAATAGGTTTAGGTCACAGATAAATTAGATTTATTTAATTGTCTAAGTTTTTATTCTTACATATAATTTTCTTTTTTAATTATATTAGTACAAATAATAGAAATGTATATACTATATATATGTTACTATTTTATAAATTACTTAATAAAAATACAAGCAAGACTTTATTTTTTTTTAAAAAAAAAAAATGCTTTAATATTTATAATCTATTAAAATAAAAAATTAATTTTAGTATAAAAAATTAATAATTCAAATAAAAATATACAAAATATTTACTTTAAAAACATTAATTAAAAAAATTAATTAAAAGTGACCTTATATGACAAAAAATCTAAAACTAATATACTCAAATTAAGTAATATATTTATGTGTATCAGTTTTGGCCTTTTGATACTAATCTATTATAACTTACATAATTCTTGGTTTTATTTCTTTTGTTTAGAATATGATGCTTACTCATAAGAAGACTAAAAAGTAATATAAGTTTATTGATTATTAACAAAATACTTAGTTACTTATTATATATTATTTAAAATTTGGCTAATTAAGAAATATGCATTTTCATCCTGAAATAAGCATTTTATTCTTTTAGATTTTAAAAATTAATAATAGATATAACTTTTAAATATGTTATAAAATTAATTTAATATGCATGTTATTAATACTCTTTACAAGTTTAAATATGTAAATTATTCTTTTAATTAGTCTTAAATATGTTTAACAAAGTTTTTCTTTAATTTAATACTTGATTTAAAAGAAGCTTGTATATATTAAGAGAGTTTTAATTATAACTATGAACAATTATATTATGTTATATTAAGCCTTTTTTTGTTTTAAAACATTTTTTGTAAACAGAACAACTATATAAGAATTTTTCTGTAAGTAACTAATATAATAAAAAAAAATTAATATACTTTTTTTTTTTTTAACTTTAGCAATCATGCTAGCATTTTATTAGGATTTTTGAAACTATACAAATTACATAGAATTTTTCTGATATATAAGTCTAGTATTATTTGGCCACCCAAATGTACCTAAGTACAACCTGTTGCACTATCTT